AGAATCACCAGAAGTTTTAAGCGAGATCGTAAAAAGTGCAGTGCGGGAAGAATTCTCCCGGCAAAAGCCTGCTAATCGGATCCCAGTATCCAATATTTCTGAAACAATGATGAATAAAATCATGAATGACCTTGGAATAAAGACCGTCGAAGTAAGAAATCTTTATATATTATTCTTGGTGATTTCTTAATCATTTATTAATCACTTATCATTTATTTAGTTAACAGGTCAAGACTTCCAACAACTTGATCTCGTGACATGCCAACCGTTTATATGGGATATGGAGAGGGAGGAGGCTCAGCAGATGCATAATGTTGAGATATGGTTTAAGAATGCGCTAAACCTATCAAGAGATTTTCATGTGAAGGATATCCATACGCAAGTGAACTATCAGCGACCTTTACAAGGAGCGAACGTTGTTTTAACAGGTGGCTCTGATATATCTATTGGACCAAGTGGGACAGCTTGCGTCTGGATTGAAACCAAGAAAACAAAGGAGGATTTCAAAGAAGGTCAAGCTATCGGGGAGTTATTTCTAATAGATAACATTCATGTTCTAAATGCAATGGTCGTCTTGACGGATTGCAATGACCATTGGATTATTTTCTATTTCTTGAAAAATGAGGATGGCGTACAATGCATTGCGAAATCTAAAATTGGTGATCGTGGTACGGCCTTGGCGATAATTAGACAGTTCTTACTCGAAGAAGGAATCAATCTTTCCACTTGGACAGGAAAGGACGTCACCTACTCAGTAAACAAACTTGTACCTTGTCTAAAGAAAACGAAGTTTCTTGAACGCATACCTGAAGATGATGGGACCAGAATGGCAGACATGGTTGACGACATGTCTGAACAGGAATTATTCAATATGACGGCTCGCAAAAGGTTAAGGATGCTAAGAAATTGGTGTAGATTAGATGAACAACCACAAGTAGATCAACTTATTAGACAGTTTAGTGATGATTATGAAAATCCACCACCGATGATGTTCGCATAACGCAAATATTTGTTATAAGCATTAACAGTTGGTATAAAGTGTTTTTTGTCACGCAAAGTTACATCTTTTTTTATTTATTCTGTTTTTTGCATTTGTAATGGCTTTCTAGCCTCAATGTTAATAAAAAAAAATAAAGTTATACTAAATCCCGCGTGATCTGCTTGACAATATACTGTATATATTTTTCAAATGTGGAGTAATTCGTTAATTTGTCAATCATATTTGATTTTCAGCCGAAATATTCGGGATCCATTATTTTCATTAATCGTATGGTTAATCGAGGATGGGTATAAGGGATAGATTCTTTGATCTTTATTATTATCATTCCACAGTTATGTATTAATGACATTTTTTTCCTAGCTTTTTCTTTATAGGGTCCATATATTATTGCAAAATTCCGAATTCGATTCTTGGACCGCGGGTATTGCTACAAACATATAAAAATAAGACGAGTTTCACTGATTGGTTCCCTCTCATCCGCTTCGTGCAAGTGAAAAAAAGAAATAAAACGAAATAAATCTAACCAAACATACCTTTACATCATCAATCTAAACCGCTGAACGAGATAAATCTGTAAATTTCAGGCATATGGATATGCATATTATACGTTATGACCAGATTCCAAAAGAACTTCATCACATTGCTAATTGGATGAAGTAAAAAGATATTTATAATGCAATTGAG